CCTGCAGGAGACATTTCTATATACCTTATAAAACATACTCTGCTTGAAGGCTATTACCATGCTTCAAAGTCCTCAGTGGAAGACATCTTATGGACAGATTCACAAGAATGAGAATCATCACAATCAGCAGATTCCAACTTTAACTGCCATGAAACAAGAACATCAGAGAGCAAATATAAGACCTGTTGCCTTATAACGACGAGCTGGCTGCCTTGTAGAACATAGCCTACTGTTAAACTGGGAACCTGAGGCATACCTTAAGCCTTCACACATGAATAGTTGCTGAGACAAATCTATAAACATCTGCATGATTTTTACTCTAGAAATTATCTGCATAAGAGAGTGTCCTAAATGTAACATTAACTGTTTTGGAGCAAAAGCAGTAGGATTTCTGTCTCTGGTTTTGTGGACATATTTTCTTTATGTACATAATAAAATAAGCTTTTAAAGTTGCTCGTCCACCTATCTTCAACCACAAGACTTTCTCTTATCAGCAATCTACTTGAATGATTTTAAAATTTCATTTGTTGTAACTGAGAAAGTCTCAGAGAGCATCCTTTTTGATGTACCAATGTCAATCTTCACTATTGTGAAGTAATGGCATTGCTACTTCATCTTGCTTATTATCTTTTGAATTCATTTTGAGAAATTTTTCCAAGTTTGAACTTTCCTCTGCTCCTGAGGTGTGAATATGATTCTCACATCAACACCGTCCTACCCTTTGCCCTTGCTGATTTGGGCAGTAATGGATTACCCTGGCTTACATGACATTAGATGGAGTCAGCGCTGGGATTAACTTCAGTCTTATGAAATGTGTGCTGTCTTAAGGGAAGTTATCAGTGGAATATGCTTTTTCTTCTCCCATGTATTTTAAAAATAATCTTAGCAGTAGTCAAGATCAAAAGGGTATGCCTTTGCCAACATTTGAACTGCTGCCAAGGCCTTTTCTGTAGATCCCCTTTATACAAGGTGTACACTAGTAGTGGCTTAGAGCAATATTTATCACGTTACTTGGACAAGACACAGCCTATTTGGTTTTTCTTCTTATGAGAACATGAAACTACTGCTCTTGTGTGTATATACTTTCATCCCACATTGACCTTTATTAAGATAGTTAGCTGTATCTAGAGCTTTCTAAACACTGATCAAAAAATCTCACGACTTGGAAAACAGACAACCATTGGTAGAAATGAAACAGAAGTTGACAGAACAGTCAAGGTTAATAGTTTTGATCAAGGAACTAGGAAGATTTTCAGTATAAAAGACTGAGGAATATTCTACATCCACAGCACATCTCTCTTGATACAGAACCCAGTATTCACTTTTTTTTCAGTTAGCTATACAAGGTTACATCAAAAACACTTGTAAGTACAGTGGAAAATTGATTTTTGCTTCACTTCATTGGTTTTGTGTTTCTAAAATAATACACATGTATGTATTTCTTCACTAGAAAGAACCTGCAAATACTACTATATAAACTTACAAACAGTCGTGGGAAGGTATATTCAGAAAAGATCTTGGCAGTGACATAGACACAAGGAGAGTAAAATAAGAAAGGGCCTCCAGGCCAAAAAGGGCTAGAACTGATGCCACACAGTGGCTTTAGTACCTGAGGATAAGAAAGGCCTTGTGTCACTGAGCAGGAAACTCCTTAAAAAAATTAATAAGAGGTACCAAGTAAGTCTAAAGGTGTTTCATCAAATACCAGTTATCTGAAAGAACAGTAAAGGACATACAGCCAAAGAACATTCGTAGCATGTGAAAATGGGACAATAATGGATTAAAAATTAAACAGAAAGGGGCTGCAATGTCATGTAAACAGGAAGAACAACGAGTTCAGATACTCTCAATCTTCTGAAAGAAATACAATCTTGATGCAGTTTCTTGAAAATGCATCTAGGATTCTCTCTCACTTCCTTCAAACAAGTAGATCATACTTCTATTTCAAATTGCTAAAGAAAATGCAACATGCTATGCCATGGCAGAAACATCAGTTCTTCCTTTTCCCTCCACAAATAAAAGCAATAATGTTGGGACTGTAAAAAAGCAAACTATTAGAAACATGACCAGAGAAACTGCTTACCTTTGCAACATCACAAAGTAAAAGCACAAGAAAATAGGCTCTTGGGACAATCTAGAAATAGCAGCAAGGTGAGATCTGACAGAAACAATATAGTTTGTATCAACTCTTATTATCTGAAACTGTTCACTTATCCTTTGGCTGCAGCAGATGACACGCAGCTTCAATATCTAGAAAAATTCTCTTTATGGTGAAGCTTTTGCAAGTTCTGGGAATTTGAAGAATAGCTATAAACACAAAGAGACTTCTAAAACCCACCCATGACTAAAATGTTATGCCAAAAGAAGTATACAAAGGTAGAAAGCTAGATGAAATGTCACAGCAACTTACTTGGAAAGAAAGAACATGCAACTGGCAAACTTTTAATTCAAGAGAAACTACAGAAGTGCACCTTTGCCTGGATTTATGTGAAGTAAAGGACTGAGCGAGAATGGTAACACAGCTGGTGACATTATGGGTCCTCCTAGCATTTGAACATATACACAATCCCAGGAAAATTTTTAAAATATATATTTAATATACTTTGATATCATTATTGTCTTTAAATTTAGATACTTTTCCCCAAAAAGCTGATCTTTGGCTTGCAGATGTTCCTTTAATGTTTCTTGTCAAGCAGTAAACAAAATAAAAGTGCTGTTTTGTCTTTTTGCCCTTTATATTTTGTGAATTTTCCATATGCACTAAATACGCAGTATATTAAGAAACAGACATGTATCCATACAGGGGAAAAAAGTGGAGCTGACAAAAGGCCTCCTGATTAATTTAAAGCATAACATAAAGTTTGAGATGAGTATTTGGCAAATGTAGTTTATGTATAGAATTTGAAAATAGAATCTGTATTACTTGTTCCACCCACATATCGATGTTAGACTAATAAAAAAATGCATATCATTCATGTTTATAATGGCTGTTTATCTACATTGTGCAGAGTTGCTCTGTGTGGGTGCATGGCCATTTCTGGAAAATGTGATAAATCACCATCTAGAGACAGACAACAGTTACTGCCATAATTAATGGTCCATTACCAATATGTGGATCCTCCTGTAGGCAGCCCAAGAGCACAGTTTTTGAATAGAAGTCCTCTAATTTGGCTGTTATCTTTCATCTCTTCCCTTGTAATTGAAAGCCCAAGGTAGTAATATAAGACTTACTAAGAATTAATTGATCATAAAATTGACAGACCTTAAGAAGAGAGTGTGCCACAGTAAAAAGCATCACGGAGGGAATCTAGACAGGGATGCCCAACCACAAACTTAAAACGAGACTGACTGAAACAGTTCTCTGTGGTCAATGTATAAGATTAAATCCAAGAAGATTTACATGAAGAATTACATGAAGACCAGTAGAAACTGACAGAACCTGAACACTGGCAGCTGAGTCCTTCCCGGTTTCTATCTCACTCTCCAAGGCAATTGCAAGGGAAATGAAAGAGGACTGCAACTATCTTCCTTTCTCTAGACCATAGCATGGCAGCACAAAGCAGCAGAACATGCATGCTACTAGAAGTCCAGCTGTGTATGCCCACTTGAAGAAGGACCGATATTCCCCCTTTACAGGGTCATATTCTTACACAGGCACAAGCATTATGTTCATGATGTCTGTAATCTATAATGGGAGCTTACTGTAATTCTACCAAAAACTTAGTGTGCTGTGCTCTGAAAATACCACCCTGAAAGAAGGCAAATTGCTGGCTTTCAGAGCAACCTAATAGGGTCATCAAGAGAGCATACAATAACACAATTCTGATCTTTGATTCAAACCTCATGCCAAGTGGAGCTGATTTTTTTCCATTTAAATTTAATTCTCATATAACTAAAAGGAGCTGACACTTGGCTGTCTAGAGGGCAAAGAAACTGGCAGGACACTTACATGATCTCATTAATAGTATGTGCACGGTAATAACATTATACCGTTTATCTGAGGAAGAGTATCCTACTTACCCACAACTGAAAGCACATTGGTGCATAATTCAATTGTAAAAGCAATTTCTAAAGTTATAGCAGTAATGAAATATAAGTCAATATTTCTGAACAAACAGGAAGAACTGGGAGATAGGTATTTCCCTTGACTCACAATACTATTCTTATTAACAAGCACATGCAAATTAAAAAAAAATAATGACAGATCAAATTTGTAATATAAAAACCCCCTGATATTAACAAAATTAAAATTGAGCAAAAATCAAAATAGGTATGCAAGGAGTAAGTGAATTTACAAAGATGAATTACACTAGACAGGAGAGAATGTAACTACCTGATTGTGTATTTTAGAAAGCAAAAATTCTTAGTGTAATTGTGAAGTACGGTCTATTCTGGGGGCACCGAGTCACACAGCTGCAGCACTCAGCCCTCCTTGGAAGGGCAGTTCCATGATCTCACACAATCAAACTGCACTGCCCACTTCAACCCTCCCAAAGCAAAATGAGAGAAAACAGATGCTTTCTCTCTACCCTGTGGATCTTACTAGAAGATGCACAGCCATCTGCGATCACAGACACAGAAGAGGATGGCCGAATTGGAGATTTTAGTTCAAAGTTCAGTTCACTGAGTCTAGGCAATTTCAGACCAGGTCTTTCCTCACGTTTCAGTTTCAAATCACATGAAGTCTTTAAGTAAAGACTGATGGATGAAATCATAGGAAGACAGAATAAAAACTGCATGCTTGTAAACCAGAACTGATAAATCTGGCTACAGCTTATTATGACATGGAAAAACTTTACAGGTAAGTGGTTAAAATGCTTGCACAAATAGTTTTAAAACTAAAGATGAGCTCAAGCTGTGGAATTTACCTTGTAATGATTTTATAGAGCTCCTGATGTCTGTTTTGTGCTCATTTTTAATAAACCTAGATTTGAGAACATTCACTTTACAGCAGTAATGCTTTCTTTTGTTAATGAAAGTAGAAAACTCTCATTACCCACCTGAAGAACATCTCCAAGGTCAGCAGTGCTAATATCTGGGTCTTCAGTGGTATTAAAAGGAACAGGGTTAATTCTTACAAGAGTGAGCACTCTGGGTTCTGGGTATCTCCACATCATCATTCCTGGACTATCCTCAGTTTCATTGTAAAACACAACTTCATAGGCACTGGGCAGTTTTTGTGCTTCTGTCAAATGAAAGAAAGCTATAATCTGTTACATAATTTCTAGAAAGAAACATGCTGGTTTATGAGACCAAAGCAGTTAAAAATAAATCCCTCAGGATCAAAAGGAGAGAAAATAAAAAAGCAATTTCCCTGACTTTTAAAAGATTACAACTTAATGGAAAGAAATCAAAAAAGTTTTTTTCTTTTTCATTCTAGCAGATGTCTTTTCAATTGCTTTTCCAAAAAAAGCAAAGCATTCATTGTAAGAGGCAAGTAAGCTTTAATAGGTTACTACTGTATTTACTTTATAATTAAAAAAAGAGACCAGTAATATTCTTCTTACCTGCATCTTGTATATACTGGAACAGGCCTGTTCTCAGATCATCTGAGGTATGCTCAGTTTTTGAGGCCCGATTCCTTTCCATCGAAAAACAAGTAAGGTGTGTATGTTCAGGTATCGGTGTCTCTACACTGCCCTTTTTAGTGAGGTACTGCCACAGAAGCTCCTGGAGGAGAACTAAACAGTTCAAATTCTCTTGACCCCAGAAAACCTTTAAAAAAGTAAAAAAGAAAGAGAAAGAGAAAAGATGAAACAATTACATACCAATGTCTAGTCAGTTTTGAAGGAAAAAACTCCCCAAAACAAGAGGAACTTCATACAGCTTTCAGCCTGCTCTGCTTATACCTTAACTGCTTGCAAGTTTCCTTCACATGAAAATAAAGAACACGAACAACAATAAATCCCTACAAAACCATTTGGCAAATTTGTTCTCTTCATCGTTCAAAGGAAAGCATTAATTCTTACCACTTACAATTGATACTGATGCTGCCTAGAAGACCATAGAACTTAAAAGTGATACGCAAGATCTTAACAGCTACGTGCAGTACGTAATGCTAGGACTAGTCACGGGTTTTGCAGTTTAAGATATGACAAAACAAACCTTAAAGATGCAAAGTTTAAACAGTTCAAAGAGCATGTTGCTTCAGAAGTGTAACTTTGGAATGCATAAAAACTGAGTGACACAGCAAAGATGATGAGTAGAAAGACTTACAAAAGATCACTTCAAGCACAAATATTGAGTATATACAGCATATGAATTGGATGTGCTGCAAGTTCTCAGAGTGAGGTTTAAAAGTTTAAAATTTTTTGACGTTTGAAACAGAAATTTAGAAAAATATCTAAGAAAAACTGGCATTCAAAGCCCAGAAGATTCATACACTTCATAGCAAAATAAAAGGCAGACGTTCCTCTCTCCCAGCTTTGACAAGCAGCGCTGCTTTTCTCAAATCAAACTCCTGCTTGAGAGAATCACGTTAACAGGGACAAGTCCTTTAGTCTTCATGTGCAGAAGCAGGGCCAGAAATAACAGGGAAGAAAAGGAAGCCACTAGCCATTAATAAAGAAATAAGACTTCGAACCAGTGTGGGATGAAATCAAAGTCACCAGACAGTAACTTCAAAGTCCATGGTAATGGTAGGAGTAAAGTAAAAAGTCAGCTGTGCACATAAAGAGCCGTGCAAACTTTTTCACTGGGAAATGCCAATTTTCAAATATGAAAAAAAATATCTGAAGATGCCTAAAGGAAGTGTAGTGCAGCTTCCAAGAAGGAAGCTTTTCCTTCCCTTGCATCTACATGCAAGCTCATGGGAAAAAACATGACCCTTTTGAAACACAGCTACAGCCAGTCCTGAGCTAAATAGTCTGGGGCTACCCAGGTCATCTCCCGTGCAGTTTCTAGAGTACCTCTGGGCTCGGTCCCACACTTAGTGTAGCACCACCTCAAAGGAGCTTCTGTGTTGCTTCAGCTGATCCCAGAGACCTCAGTTTTCAACTTTATTTTTAGGCAGCTAGAACTCCACAGCATGGAACTCCTACCATAATATTCACAGATGAGGCACTAATTTCACATAAGCTCTCTAGGCTCTGCTGCAATGCAAATTAACAGTGGTAGAAGGTAAGGTCATGTTTAGAGCTGGTAAAATCATTAGACATAAAAAAAATTATTTTGAAACAGAATTGCTAATACTTTTGTCAGCATTCTCAAATCTATTCTGCCAGACCAAATACTTAATTGTTTTCTGCAATAGCTAATCATCCCAGTGTATACTCTAATAATAAAAGACTTTCTCAGGCTTATAGATATTTTTCTGGTCCTCATCAAAACCCCAAAATTTTAGAAAAAAACACCCCAACTTTTTATTGTTAATAATACGTAGAGGTAGCCAAACCTCTACAAACAAGTACCTGTGAATAACAAATAAAAAAGAAGCAGAGAAACAAACTGACTTAATTTATCCATTAAGATATATTTTTTAAAAATTCGTATTATTCAATTAGCATGGTCCACAGTGCTGTGGTTTTAAGAACTTCTAATGCCGATGCTGGGAAAAGACCTAGTAACACAACTAAACATCAAGATTTCCATTTTTGTGTTTTACATGCTTGATTTATACATTTATTTTAAAACATTTGGTGTGTATAGATACTACAATAAAAATAATTAAAACAAGACATATCTTCAAACCCACTTGCTTAAGCCCCACAGAATCCATTCTTCATTTCAAGAACTCCCATGCTTCTTGGACTGGTTTCAAGTTGTGGGCACTTACAAAAAGGAGCGGATAGCATGGAAAACTGAGTATTAATCGTTACAAACAACAGTTTATAATTACTCCCCTGAGAAATTGGTATAAGTCTAAAAAGAAAGGGTATGTATTTCTTAAAGCCACCCCTAGGCATTACAGACACATAGCTCCCAGACAAACACATACACATCAGAATAGGGTCCTAGATACTAAGTGTTAGTAATTTGATCCAGTAGTTTTAAAGGAACACACACATACAGCTACAATACAAGGATTAAGCAGTATTTAAAAACAAAACAAAACACTGTACATAAATTTTCCATCAGCAGTTTTATATGAAAGAACAGATACTTATTTTAAAAGGTAAAATAAAAACCACCCAAAACAAACAAGCAAAAAACCCCAATCCAATGAACTGTTGTAGGCTGCAAAGGTTTACAAGCTTTCATGCATTTTTTTTGTGAAATCTCCATCATCCAAAGCCGGTCCAGCTCAATAGCAGAACTATAAGCATCTTATACAGACCTGCAGCAATCCTCCTCTCAAATCGATGTATATTTTTGGGATAGACTGCTCTGGGCCAGGATCACCACTGTGCTTACACCACTTGGCTTCCACATTAACAGAACAGCAAAAAGGGCCCATGAGAGATCTGGCTCTTTCTTTGAGACTTGTTTTAAGCAGGAAGTCTTTTACATCAAGGACAAAAGATGACCCATGGATTCCTAAAAAGAGAGAGAGAGACAATTAAACCCGGTCCCAACATTTATGTGCTTATTTCCTGGATTCACTTTACCACGAGCCTGTGAATCTCTGACTTTCATGCAGTTGTGCGGACAATCACTCTCCTCTCCAAGAAAGAGCATCACAGTTGGGCCCCAAGACTTGCAATTTTTTGTTTTTTAAGCTTGCTCTCCCGACACTGTTGAGCACGCTTTATATAGTGTTGCAGTTATGGAGCAGGTATGTCTCACGCACATTCCTTACAAAGAGCTATTTGCCAAAACATGGTGACTTCTTACATGTGTGAGTATTCTAAGGTTTATGAGAAGAGACATTTTTCATTACACTATGAATTTTTTTTCAAAAGAGTAAATTAAGAACAAGAACAGCTGCTTCACTTGATTATATTTTAAACTGATAGGAAATAGCTATTTTGAACGATTCTCCCTGCTTTTGTCAGGCTAGTTATTACAAGATACTACCTTGCTATTGCTAGACTAAGGACAATATCTGAATTCAAATAATTCAAAACAATTACCATAAATCAAAATACATAATGTGTTTACCTAAAAAACAGTTTAATCTAAACTTTTCACATCATAACCATTTGCACTTTACATAGCTTTATAAAACATAAAAATGATAATGGCAGTTTAGGTTTATGTACTCTCATTAAAGACAAACATTTTTAGAAAGAAACGCTATCTAGAAATGTCACATCTCTTGTGAGTTTAACTTACTGCAAATCACTGTTTACTAAAACAAACAAGATTAAAAAACACCTAAGGCTTACATTCAGATGTTTCAAGGTACAGCTCCATTTTCTATTTTCATACCTTTGCTGGTAGAAAAATGCCACAAAAATACAACTCACTGTTCTGAATAGGTGCAGTAAAACTTCTCCTATGAATCTCTTTTAGAATCCAGAAAGAAGTCTGCCTGCATCCTGGGAGTTATGATTTTATAATACCAAAAAATATTTTATACAATGGAAGGCAATATATTGGATTTTTTTTTTCTTTTTTTTAATCCAGCATCCACTAGGTAGGTGGTCCAACAGTCCCCATAGCAGCAATGGCACTGAAGTGTGTTCAACCTGAGCAGGAACCACAAACAAGAAGCATCCCTCCCTTGAGCAGTCTCGAGTTTAGTAAGTATGATCAAGGGCCGGAGCAAACCTTTGTCCCCTGCCAATCAACAGGACCATTGTCACCGATTGGGAAAGGGGTTTTAGCTCGAGGTTATTTAGGCTGGCTTCTGAACCCCTGAGTCTGGTCTTGTGTGTAACAGGTTTATACGACAGAAACTGTTCAGTGTTTTTTTGACACTGAACTTCGGTGATGATCAAGAAAACTAACATCATCACACCCTGACGCCTCCTTTTGGTACTGGTTCAGACTTGATTTTGTAAACCGTGAAATGAAGTAGCTTCACATACAGTCTTAAATCAAGAAAAAGGGGTATTTTTATGGGAAGGGCTCACTGTCACCCTGCTACGCTCAGTCTAGTTATTTTAAGAGGCACTACAATATTTGGAAATTCAATTTTTTTTTCTACTCTACATGGAACTTTGATTTTAAAGAGAAGAAATTCCCGGTAATTATTGCACAATTCTGCAATGTACAGAAATGTTCTATAGTTTTATTGGAATATGTGCCGAGTTGCAGAAATAACAAAAGGGAAAAAGGAATGCCAGAATACAAGTGGTTTTATTTATGTTTTCTTTCACTGAGATTACACTTGGAAGGATTAGTCTTTTTCTGTTGTCATCTCAGCTCCACAAAGTACAAAGAAAACACAATATCCAACAGCTTAGAAACAGAACTGAGCATTCAGCACATAATACTGCTGGTTCAAAATCAGCAGTGCCTTTCTCAAATGCTATGCAAACAATGAGAAATGAAGACACAATTAAGAATAAGGAAGTGTTGGTAAATTTTGAATAAATGAAATATTACAAGACACATCCATGGATTGTCTCCTACAGACACCAGGAAAGCTCAGGGACTCAATGACAGATTTTTCTTTTTCTTGCTGCAACCCAGATTGCTCGCGTATAGGGAAGAATCACATCCTCATCCTTCCTTGCAGTAACATCTACACGCCTTTTTGCAGATGAAGTGACTCAGTATAAAAACCACTGTGCTCTTAATAAAAAAAATGCAGAGAGCATTCAGGCAAATTTGAACAAAGTGATGTCTTGAGAAAGCTTAAAGAAAACAAATGAAGAACAACAAGTATGCACAAACCCTAAAAAGCAATAGTAAATAAAGTGATCTCTGGGACTCAGGGAAGTTTCAATGAGGTACCATTACTATGGAAATCCTACAAGGATGACATTAGAGAAGAAATAATCTCACATCTAAGTGGAAGGAGTGAAGAAATACCACTGTGCACTAGAAGGGAGCTTATTTTAAGATTGCTCAGTGCCATACTAACATTCAAAGTATATGCTCAGTTAGTGAAGTTGCTTTCCTATGACTGAAGCAATTATCTCACAAAGGTAAAGATGCAAAATAATTCTCTGTTTTTTTCCCTCCCACACACTATTTTCAGTCAGTCCTTTCATGTGTCTCTCACAAACTCCTATTGTAGAATTCTAACTTCAGTTTAAACAGATTAAATCAAAGTCTCCATCTGAAGTGAACTTCAGATGGCGCCACACAGAAGTAATATATCTTCATAAACGATTGTTGTGATATGTAGAAGTTAACTTGTTCTGTTTGGATTGTTGCTCATGAACACCAACACACTTTTCAGTACGTACAATAATTTACTTCTAGGAACAAATAGTTTTGTGACTTTTAAATTACTCCTCCAAGAGACTAATAAATACGAAGCACTTGCTTTGGACAGTGTTTAAAAACTGGTGCCAGCCCCCCAGTGTCAGACTCCACCCAGACCCACAATAGCACCCCAGTATGCTGCCACACTAAGTGAGGAAAATACAACTTACACCAGGCTTCTGATGCCATTGGAAGGATTATCTTTGTGACGACATATGCTCAAAAGGAATATCCAGCTTGAAATAACGTAGGAGGGTTTGGAAGACAGCTAGCACTTGCTTGGTAATGTCAAGAAATTAACTTGCTCAGAAGTTAAAGTTGGAGCTCATTACAATAGAATAGTGAAGAAAATTTACTAAAAGATATTCGCTTTGATATTTTAACATCTCTCTTTTTTTAGTCAGTAGAGACCTATCTATGCTAACATATATGAAGACATCTCACAGAATCTGAGTACCCTAACACAGTTACAAATATAGTTATACCAAGGTTTCTATATAACTACAATACAGTTATATTAGTGTTTACTAATAATAGCAGGCTCCATGTTTGTTAAACTCCCTGTGTGCACAAATCCATTTGTGTGCACAGAAAAAAAGAGCCGGCCCATTTTAGTAGATGCAGCAAATACATTAAAACAATGCTTGCCTTACAGTAACAATCACTTAGTGTTCAGGCAAAACAGGTGTTAAGAAAGAGTTCTGTTGTTTTTCCTGGTTCACAGACAAAGGGAGAGACAATGTTTTGACATTAACTATGGACTTTCTGTTTTCAAAAACATTTTAAAACACTGATATTTGAATCAACTCCAAATGAAACAAGTAGAAATGTTGCAGGAGCTTTTTTCCTTCTGTTATGCTCTGTGCATTTGCTCTTCGTTAGATAGCTGCAAATCCTGTTTGGTTCACTGCACTGTCACCTAATACAACACAGAGCATGATTTTAATTGGCAAACTTCTCCATGGGAAAAGAGCTTTAAGAAAATGGAAACATGTGTATTATGACAAATATAGCAAATGGCACTGGACTGTAGTTGAGCTACCTTTTGAAAAGCCTCTTGGAAGCTAGTAGCTTTGCTACAAACTGTAGTGCTAGGAAGAAAATTGCTTTTCTGAGTTTGGGGAAGCTCAGAAGCAAGCCTGTGTCCCAGAGCACAGAGCCTGCCATGCTGGCTTGGACCAGCCAAGCTGCACGTGAGCGGCGTGGTCTGCGCCGGCCGCAGCAGCTGGCAGACTGCATTCCCACCCAAAGGATCGCCGTGCACTCCGCAGGCAGCAGTCCACAGCCCAGCCTCTCCCATGGCCCTCCATGCCTGGGCAGCAGAGATACAATCTGGCTGCTGAAGGCTAATTAGTGAGCGGTTTTCCTTACTACCGTCTGCTTTAATGCTACATGCTCCTAAGGTGATAATCTGTGCTATTTGCTTCAGCTAGTTTCAAGTTGCCAAAGATACTATAAATATGTTATTTATATATATACATAGAGATGGACATGGAGCTTAGGGACATGGTTTAGTGCTATAATTGTAAGTGCTAGGTTAATGGTTGGACTTGATGATCTTAAAGGTCTTTTCCAACTTAAACGATTCTATGATTCTGTATCTAATATACTGATACAATTGACTACATGATTTTTTTCCTCTTAAGAAAACTTCAGATACTTCACGTAATGAATAGCTACACTACAGTTACTCTGTTCTGTTGACAAGTGTCCTCTACAAAGCAGCTTCTGAGAAGAAAGGGTAACAAAGCTATGAAAATAATTACAGGGGAAATACTGCAGTTAATTTAAGAGTCAGCCAATTTATTGAAGTCTGGAAACAGCAGCAGCAAACAAATGGTGAGATCTAGTAAAGGACAATTTTCCAGGAGAGATTTAGTTAACAATCCACTGACCGCACGGGATTTCTCATTAATATTGAGCTGAATCTTATGATAGTTCATTCTCCCCACGAGAACAATATTTACACATTACCAATTAACTATTCTTTAGTGAAACAGAGTTTTTCAGCATTACATGGGGACACATATGGGGTCTGTAAAAACATGAGATGTGTAACACACGGTAAACAGAAAGTAATGATCTTAAACAGGCCAAACCCTTGAATTCGTCACTAATAAATGTCCCCATGCATTCAGCAGTCCTGGCTGCTGGGAGCCTGTTTTCTTCAAATACTTCAAACACTAAAATCCAGGAACATTTATTACTTTAATCCA